TGCACTTTTCACACCACTTTGCTTCATTCCCGCCTCCTCCAAACTTCTTCGAACTGAACTTGCCCTTCTTATTGATGGGCCTTGCAGATCCCTCAAATTTTCTCTTCTCGCCAACCTCAACCTTGCTGGTGGTTCTTCCCTTGATCATTTCTTCGACAGACTTGGCAGCCAAGATAGCTGCCTCCAGAGTATGCGCCTGACGTACCAGCACCGTATACTCCCATGGGAGGCCCTTGGCGTACATGTCGATTTTCGTCAATTCATCCGGCACAAGACGCAAGGCAAACTCCATCTTTTCTGTGAAGTTGTTGGTATACTCATCAATTGACACGCTTCCCTTCTTCAGGGCCAGGAACTGGTTCTCTAGCTCAAGCAAGTTTTGGGCTGAGCAGTACTTACGCTTGAGTTGTAATAAAAACTCCGCCCATGTCAGCTGCAGGGGCTCATTAGGGCTCAAAGTCTTCCCCAGGGTGTTCCACCAGCGCACTGCTCCTCCTCGGAACTGACGTACTGCAAAGGTGGTTTGCAACTTGCCTCTGCAACCACACGTCATGAAGGCTAGCTCCATTTCTGAGATCCAATCCATGACTCCGATCGGATCCTCCTTTCCAGTGAAGGTCGATGGTTTGCAAGTCAGGAAATCTTTGTACTTGCATCCAATTCCATCATTTCCTCCATCTAATTGGTTATTTTGTCTAACTATCGGTGGGTTGGCTTGACCAACAGTCCCACTGAAGTTTCCTCCTTCCGACTACCCTTCATTTAATTCGGGCTGTTCAACAGGTATAGTAGGTTCTTCACGATTCTGCTGAAGCAACCTCCTGGTCTCCTCCATCTAACGATCCAACATTGTCTAAATCATCATTTGCACTACAGCCATCGTTATTGGCTCTGGTGCAACTCCTTCAACAGGTACTTGCTCAAGTACTGGTGGTTGATTTCTATTTTCATTTGCATTCCCAGCTCCACTGCAGGTTCTTGTCATTCTTGATCTATACACCGAATAAGGTGAATTTAGATCTTTATTCACGACATATATTTAAATCATCCTTATCACTTTGAAACGTTTACATGCTAGTTCTAATATCGTAGTCATATGCTTAGAATCCTACACACATAAGGTTTCCAGATCCGGTCGGCAACAGACCATAGATCCGAACAAATAATATCGTCTATGGCAAACACATAACATTTAGCACATAAAAACATTTTAGGCATCTTTCCTAAAATATACTAGTGCTCACACCTCACAATCATTTCTTAGCATTCTAAGTTTAAGTCTAGAAATCCTACAAATTCCTAGTTCGCTTAAACTAATGCTCTGATACCAACTATGACATCCCCAATTTCACGTCCAGAAAAGACCGATTTAGTTTATGCTTTTATAATAAAATCAGACTAATCCTTTGATTAAAAGTGTTGCGGAATTTGTTCCCAAAATAAAAATATGATAACGATTTATCAAAGCATTTCCCTAGAAATGTATTTCATTAAAAAGACTCGGGATGTCATGTTCGATACAGATCAAAAGCATAAACAGTACATTATAAGCCTTACAACAGTTATTTATAATTACTTGCCTATAATCCAAAATCCCTCATCATCATCCAAATTATGCTCTGGGTCCACTACCTGTAAATCAGAAAGCTGAGTGGGTCAGGCTTGGGAGCCTGGTGAGCATATAGGGTTTTCAACCCACAATAAATAATTATTTAAATTTCATCAACCAACAATAACCTAGTTACTCATTCCCGTTATCCTCACTTTACGTCCCTAAATAACTATCACAAGGGACTTAGTCTAAGAATACTCATCGGGGCGACAACACATGCTTTAGGGGTTTCCCAGCAATATATGTCAAATAAGGCAACCATGGGGGGATGGAGTACAGCGAATGAACACCCAAGTTCATTAACACCTACAGGTGGCGAATCTGCTAGCGTTCCACAGGACTATCTAGAAAAGTCTGTGGTCGTCATCCATACTCCGCTAGATGACTGGAACAAAAACAACATTGAGGCCTCTCATCATTCTATCACACATCAACTTATTTCATCTACCCATGTTATACCCAACATATTTGTAGATAAAATAAAAATATGCATTTTAAATCATTTTAAATCATTTTAAACATGTATAAAACATCCATTCAACATCCATTTCAAATAAACAAATAATATATATACACATAGCACGTATTTTATATAAAATACTTCATATCTATGTGTAAGATGAAAGTGACTATACACTCACTTGATTTGATGATAATCGGGCAGCAATTCGTTTCCTAAAATGACCGTTTCTGATCAAACCGGGGGCTTTAATGAAAAACCGGGCTCTTGTGAGTGTTGAGCTTCAAAAACGAAAAGATAATTTTCCAGGTCTTCGGGCACTTCAGGACGGGTTTCGGGTGTTGAAAGTAATATCGGGGCCTTGGGAAAAGTCAAACTACTCAAAATATGGAAAGAGGGGTGAAAATGCCAATTTTCTAATTCTAGTCGGCAAATCTCACATCCCTCTTATTTATAGGGTGCGAGACCAAGGAATGAGAGGCTAAGAAGCATCCACGTAGCAGCTGTGAGGCTTGGACCCGAAAGGCTGAGAAGACTCCACGCATTAGAAGATGCGAAGGCCACGAGGCTCGAACATGGCTCGCATGCGAAGCGCCATGTGCGAAGCTCGGAGATGCGACACGGGGAGAGGCGCGTCGGAAGGGGATTGGTCGCGAGGCTGGTCGAATCCGGAAGCAACACGCGTCGGACCTCAGACGCGGCACGTCTCGATGATGCAGCTGCTTCGTGCGAGGTGAGTTGGCCTGACACTATTCATGCGAAAATTCTCGGAAAATGTGCCCCAATCTTCTAAAATCCATAACTTTCTCATACGGACTTCGTTTTTTTACGTTCTTTATATGCACGTGTAGGTAAAATTACGCTCTACAACTTTTGTTTAGACTTCGTCGGCTAATTTTGACTTTAATTTTAATATTATTATTTTTAACAGACCGGGCTAGGAAAATCCGTTAGAAATTCATAACTTCTTCATCCGACGTCCGTTTTCGTCCGTCTTTTTACCGTTGTACTACTATTGATGAGACCTTCGATTCTCGTTTAGGTTGTGTCGGCTAAAAATCACTCGATCTAAAATTCAAGTTTTTAGCTGTCTACTGCTAAGCTGAAACTTAGAAAAATCATAACTTCCTCATACGAAGTCAGATTTAGACGTTCTTTTTATCAAAATTCTCAGTTTAACGAATACTACGAATTTCGTTTAGATTATTAAGGCTAAAAAGTATTTTATCGTAAATTCACTTTTTACGCTTCCCGGTATCGTGCCAGTTCCGTCGCGAAACTTCGACGGGTCATAACTTCTTCGTTATAACTCGGATTTCGGCGTTCTTTATATCCCCGTAATCCTTGTTTCAACCACTACAACTTTATGTAAAGATATCGGTTTTATCTAATATTTATTTTCAACTCTTATTTTTATTATTAATTAATTAAATCATAATAATTAAGCAAATAAGCACATAATTCACATAATATTCACATAATTCCTCTTTATCACTTCAAATGAGTTACAAAGGTTAACCTAGACTATTACATCAACAATAATAAATAGTCTGGAAACGCGAGCGTTACAGAAATGAGGTCTTAAGGCTCTTTAAACAGGGTGCAAGCCCTAGAATTAGGGTTTTCTCAACACATACGCAACTCGTCGAGTCTAGCCTTGGACTCGACGAGTAGGCTTCATAACTCGCGCGGCCAGCTCAGCTCCTACACGACAAGTTGCGACCAACCAACTCGTCGAGTAGGTACTACAATGCACTATAACTCTTCAAGTTTCACATCCAGGATTCAGGGTGTTACATGTACGAAAAAAAATTGTTGTGTACGAATCACTTTCCTTATGGGTTAAAAACGAAATGTCGTTTAATGGTCCTTATAATAATAATAATAATAATAATAATAATAATAATAATAATAATAATATTAAAAAAAACTTTTTTGAATAACTCCTACTTGCCCAAAAAACATTTATTTATTGTTTGTTTAATAATCAAACAAACGTTTATATATTGTTAGTTAAAATCAAATTTTCTTTTTGAAAAGTACCAATTGGCATACTAATTTTTTTTTTACATAAAGCATAGCATCGACTCCCATGTTCCATGGTTTACAATGACTGATTATACTGTTTTCGCACAAAAAGACTAAATTATAAGAATTTTCCTTGTGCGTTGTCACCATTATTCATTACATGACAAAAAGACGAAATTATATTCTAAAATTATAATACTCTTATGTTAATGCAATAAAGACTTAAAAACAATTGAATTAATTAACATCATGAAAAAAGGCAAAGAAACACATACACATCATACACTCTCACACAAACAATCAAACACATAAATTCTCGCATAGCCCACACTCACACAAAAACTCAAACACATGCAAAATGTACAGTTAAATACAAAAAGTCAAACACATAACGACCTTTACGTAAATGGTCCCTGTATCAGAGTTTATTACAAAAGCTGTCCTTGTGGTATTTTGAAAAAAAAAATATTTGCATAAAATCTTACGTTAATGGTCCCTAGACCCTATGGAAGAGGTAATTACAAAACAGTCCTTGTGGCGTTTAAGTCAATTACACACACAAACATATAAATATAAATGCAAAAATACAGTTACAAATACATATAACATCATAATTTCAGTTTTAATAGCATCCTAATTAATGAATATGCCTAAAATGCCCTTAACGTGTCGATCATGCTCTTCAATTAATGAATTTCCCATAATACCCTTACCTAAAATGTGCTTAAAATTAAATTCTTCCATCTAAAATGATACAGTGACATATAAACTTACACAAAGTAGATTGCTACTTTTTGCATTATATGTTCAGATTAAGCAAGAAACATACATCAACCCCAACACTGAAGATACCAAATACGTTATAAATGTCAAACAAATTGCAAAGATGTGTACTTTATGCACAAAGATAATCATTTGATATAATGCCTTGCCTTAGTGAAACTCATGTTAAGGTCTTTTCAAGTCGTGTGAAATGACATCAACTATGGTGATAGATAATCATCACCAACAAGTACAAGTAGCACTAGTCAAAAATCCAAAAAGAAAAACACATGACATCAATTACTAAAAGGAAAGAAAGACCATCTTCAAGTTTACAAACAATAAGCTCTAAGAACCTTGAAACAATCACTTCACATTAGAGCAATGAAATTCAAACCTAGTCCTCTGACCAGTGGTTCACCACCTGTCTCCAATTCTTTAGCTTCCACAAAATCAGTGAGTGCATCCCTAGCAGGCAATTCTGCACTTGGAGAGTGTGCGACTTGGGGAGGTTCTTCTGCTGCCAGGTAACTCTTCTCCACAGTAAATGCATCCTGATCACCAGAATCATCAGAAGATGAAATGGATTTAGGCACAAATGAAATGGCTTTTGAGGCAGATGATTCAGAAGAAGATGATTTGTCCATATCATATCCTGAAAACTGTTCATCTTTTGTTTTAGATCCATCTGGCAGGGCTGTATCAAGAAAAACTTCAAGCTTCCTTTTTGCATATCTAGGCTTCTGTTGCTTCCAGTATCCAGAGGCATTAGTTTGAAACATAACAGGTTTACCTAAGATATTCTGAATAAAGAAAATTATGAGTAACAAAATGAACAAAATAAACATTACTACACACACACACACACATATATATATATATATATATATATATATATATATATATATATATATATATATATATATATATATATATATATATATATATATATATATATATATATATATATATATTTAAGCACTGACCCCTTTGAATACAGCCGTGGTATCAAATCTCGTGCACATGCAGCTGACGTTACCCGTAACCCTAATCTGGGCAATGAGGGTTTTGTCCTTGTATGTCTGAGGCTTAACCTCATCGATCTGATAACGTTCTCCACAATCAAGCTGAAAATATCACATAGGTATTATAAAACTACTTATTTATGCAACTTCTGAATTAATACAAAAACCTTACAGTTCCTGCAAATCTAAATTTATTTGTTGAGTCCCAGTTAATGGTCAGAGTTTCGCTGTGGTCATGGCCATCCATCAGACAATTCAAAACAAGTGATGTCTTCCAGGGCCTAAGACTTTTGAAGATCTTGATTCCAGTATCTTCCATACAAATTGCATATTCTCTGATTGCCATTTCTGAAGAAAAAAATACCAAAAAAATATCTCAAATTAGAAAATTAACAATTACTTCAAGATGAGCGTGTGGAACATGAACACAAATGCAAAGTAATTATTCACCAACACAAATCTGATATATAGTACAACTCATAGCAATGAAGAATGAACTAACTTAAATTGACAGGTTCTCTTCTGATTTGGAATATTGGAAACGATCTTTCAAATCGCTTCATATATCATGAGCACTCTCAGTAAACAGTATACATTCAGAAATTTCCTTAGATACAGAGTTTAGGATCTAAGAAATCACAAGCTTGTTGTTTCGCAACCAGGCATTAGATTGATCAGAAGAACTAGGTTTAGGATGTACCATCAATAAAACCATTTTTATTTTCACTGATAAAGCAATATGTATTGCAATTGTAGTACTCTCCGGTTAACAATTGAGAAACAAAATAAAAACAGATGAACATTTCAATAAGGATGCAATACAATCCGGGACTATCATAGTGATGTATGTAATAAGGATGCTGTTATCGATTTCGGTTTCAAGAGATGAACATTTCAATCCAACTCATCAAGATCGTTAACGTATTTACCAAAAACTTATTCAAACATCTATCAAATCAGATCTCGAGTAGCAAACAAAATAAAACACTAACGAACTCAGTCGATGCATAAGTCAAATCACATTAGAAAAAACAGCGAGCATAAACAGACTGAGAACATTACTGTAAAGCCATAAGAAAATGTAGAGAGAGAGAGAGGGGGGGAGAGATACCAAAGCTTGAAAAGTATGAGATCAGACGTTGATGGCGACGTTTGAGAGAGAGAAAAGTGTGTGAAAGAGAAAAGGATGCGATTGGTTTAAAAGATAAAAGGGTTATTGGCGGTTTTAGTAGGTGAGGAGAGAGAGGGAATCAGGCGATTTTTGCTGTTTTCCTTTTTTTCTTTTTAATTTTTGAATTTTCTGTAAAAGATATATAAAAGAAAGACCGATTTAAGAGCGTGTACGGAGGGAAAGGAATCAAATCTTTAAAAGGCGGGGTTTTTTTTTCCTAAAATAAAAAAACATATCTAATATGAGAGAGAGAGAGAGACTATTTGCTAATCCTTTAAGTAAGTAAGCAATATAAAAACTTTATGATTAAGTAAATTATTGTAAGAAAAAAAATTCTAGACATATCTAAAACATTTAGTGATTTTACAAAGAGTAGCCAAAAATCATTTTTTTTAATTAACCACATAAATCGCAAGTGTTTAGTCTCACTTGTGAATTTCTGATTTCATATATATGAGCAAAGATTTCTACGAAACCAGGATTTAAGGATAAAGGAGACTGATAGTCTCACATCGCAATAACTTTAAAAAAAACACAAAGAATTAGTAAACATTATTTTAAACAAATGACTATTCTTACAACTTACAAATTGATATATATGAATTGATATATATCACTATTGATTAATAGTCAATTAAATTAAAATGAAAGAGGTGAAGGCGGCGGTTATAAAGTAAACGTGGTCTCATAATTCTCATACGTTGTTGACTCATTGTCTTATATTTGTATAATAATAATTGTTTTTTTTAAATAACTGAGAGGGCTCAAGCATTATCAATTAATCGATGTGGGATTGTGGGCTAAGAGTTTACCATTGGCTTGTCTTATCAATAACATATAGCTACAATTTGGAAAGAGATTTAGGGAGGGGGGGCAGAGCACCCGACAACCTCCCTACTGCCTCCGCCACTGTGTAGAACTGCATGCTAGTATGGGTATCGGACAATGGATATAATAGCCTGTTTTGGTGATGCACTGGTTAGGACTGCTCGATGCTTGAATTTTGTTGGCTTTGTGATTTTAAAGATCCCAATGATGTCAGCTAGCTATTAAGCGAATGTGTTAAGTTACATGTTATGGGGACTAAGTAATTTTAGAAGGTTACTTCAACCCTATTGTGCAAGTCTTATTTGAGTCCAACTGTTGTAGAGTGGGGCCTAGCGGTTGAAGAATTATCTAGTGTCGGTGACATGTAATTGTATTCGTGAGGTAGGTAGAAGATATTAGAGAGAGTAACTTATGCAGCTAATGGCAGAGAGTAATGGGAAGGAAACCATAGGAAGCCTAGGAGATTTATTAGCGCATATGGCACTCTATAGAGCAAGTGAAGTAGTTACTAGTAGAGATGTGACTTGAAGGATTGGAGGCTATCCTTGAGGAAGGTATGGATAGTTGTGGAAGGTAGTATTGGGCCCATACTACTAAAAGCATAGGATTTGTACCTGAGTCAAGGAAAGTCATGATGATTATAAGGAACTTCTAGAGTGAGAACCACTTCGTATGTAAACTGATTATTTACATATTGTGATTCAGTATGGTGATTACGCACGGTCGAGCAGGAGGTTCAGGATATGTGTAACATCCCAAAAATACAGGCAAAAAATTTCATTTTTAAATACGTTATTATAAAAGCATCAGTAAAATAAAACATCCATAATATCATATCATGTCATGTCAAAACCAAAGTATAGATAATCAAAAGATGTTATCATAAAACAATATCAGAGTGTAATCCCCAAGATCTCATATGCGGAAAACCATAGTGTGATGCGTTGCGATCAAGTCGGCTCCTTTCCTTTAAAACAAGTACCTGAAACCAAAACTGTAAATCGTAAGCACGAAGCTTAGTGAGTTCCCTCATCATACCACATACCATACAATCACATAGTATACATACTGTCGAGCAATTATGGGGTACCCGACCTACCCATGTCAAGCCATTATGGGGTGCTGACCTACCCATGTTAAGCTATTCTGGGGTGCTGGCCTACCCTTGTCAGGCCATTCTGGGGTGCCTACCTACCCACTGGTCTGTCTCACCTGGTCACGGGGACTATTTCACCCCTACTACTACTACTACCACACATATCATAACATAATAATATTGTTAGGCATATCTGGGGTGCCCGACCTACCCTTCGGTCCTAACAACCGAACTTGGGGACTATTCCCCTCCTACTACCACTATCACATATAACGTATCACGCTAACACATAAACATACCAGGTAGTAGCAAACCAGACAATTATCACAAAGACAATCATCTCAATTATAGTCAACTACTATTGGGCCAGCCTTGGTGCCTTAGACCCACTTCTACTGGAAGGTAACTGTGACAACCGTCAAATTCTGCAATTTTATCATTTTATGACCCCATTTGCGAAGTTGAGTATTTATTTCCAAAAATGCGAAACTCCAGGGACAATATTTGAAATCTTCTGTTTTCTTCCCCAAATTCGCATTCTACTGTGAAATACTTCGCATCTTCATTCTTACACCCTTCGCATCCCTTCGCATTTATCTCGTTAAAAACTGCAATTTCATCATTTTATAACATTCCCCAATTCGCATTCTACTATGAAATACTTCGCATCTTCATTCTTACACCCTTCGCATCCCTTCGCATTTATCTCGTTAAAAACTGCAATTTCATCATTTTATGACATTCCTCAAATTCGCATTCTACTGTGAAATACTTCGCATCTTCATTCTTACACCCTTCGCATCCCTTCGCATTTATCTCGTTAAAAACTCTGCAATTTCATCACTTTATAACATTCCCCAATTCGCATTCTACTATGAAATACTTCGCATCTTCATTCTTACACCCTTCGCATCCCTTCGCATTTATCTCGTTAAAAACTGCAATTTCATCACTTTATAACATTCCCCAATTCGCATTCTACTATGAAATACTTCGCATCTTCATTCTTACACCCTTCGCATCCCTTCGCATTTATCTCGTTAAAAACTGCAATTTCATCATTTTATAACATTCCCCAATTCGCATTCTACTATGAAATACTTCGCATCTTCATTCTTACACCCTTCGCATCCCTTCGCATTTATCTCGTTAAAAACTCTGCAATTTCATCACTTTATAACATTCCCCAATTCGCATTCTACTATGAAATACTTCGCATCTTCATTCTTACACCCTTCGCATCCCTTCGCATTTATCTCGTTAAAAACTGCAATTTCATCACTTTATAACATTCCCCAATTCGCATTCTACTATGAAATACTTCGCATCTTCATTCTTACACCCTTCGCATCCCTTCGCATTTATCTCGTTAAAAACTCTGCAATTTCATCACTTTATAACATTCCCCAATTCGCATTCTACTATGAAATACTTCGCATCTTCATTCTTACACCCTTCGCATCCCTTCGCATTTATCTCGTTCGCATTTTAAGCTAATTAATCGAATGCGATTCACAAAATTTTCATTCCAGATGCGAACACAGTTTAGTTCTTGAACTCTAAACTTGCGAAATCAAAAATTCATATGTTGAACCCATATGCGAATATTAACCCAATTGACTTCAAATTGACTCATAGATGCGAACACTCGATTGTTTTACTTTCGCAAAATGAGCATCAACAACTCCACAATCGAGTTTTTAAATTCTTACAAACAACAATTTCATAGTCCTTGACTTCGCGTCTTTCTTCGCGAATCACCCTTCAATCATCAATCCAACTTCGCATTCAAGCAGTGTTATTGATTCTCAGTCACAAGCAACCACCCCACACCCACTCTATGACCAGCCATACCTCCCCACCTTACCCATGTCACTTCAATGTTCCCTTACACTCAATTTGCCCTCTCCCCACGTTTTTGAGCTGGAACAAACGACCACACTCCTCATTTTCTCTCATTTCTCTCATTCCACTAAGTATCAAACACCACTTTTTCTCTCAAACTCTTTTACACAAATTTTCGAGATCCAAGGCTGATTTCAAGTGTTCTTCCACACTTAGTAAGTAAAAATTCATCCTCCCTATTATTATTTCACTTCATTCTGCTCAAATCTTTGGTTGCTTACACAAACTCCCTAACTATGATGTTAGATTCTCGAAAACCTTCAAGGCATCTCCAAGTGTTCTTGAATTGAACACTTTCCTTCTCCAACAATCATCTACTGAAATCACTTAAGGTGAGTTCATACCCCTACATTTTCATGTTTTCTCAAGTTTTCAGGGGGGGATACAAGTTAAAACACTAAGAACGTATCTAAATTTTTCTAACAGCCTTCATCAGAAAAGTTCAACTCCATTCACGGACTGTTTTGGGCATCTTAACTATTTTTGTTTTCAAAACTGTACAAGGTGCAAATAGATCAAGTTTTTAGCTTTAAAATGGCTACTTGCACATCTCCATACGATTTTTCTACAATTTATGGTGATTTTTACAAAACTGCCTATCATTTCAAACAACAATCCGGACCAGTCTGTGATTATGGACTTTTTCACCCAAGTTAGAGGTCATTATAAATTGTGATAAAAATTATGAGCAAACTAGACACATTTTGTGAACTCTCAGAATTTACGGATCTAGTTTTCGACTTCGTATGATTTTTCTATGATTTTTCCAAAACAGGGCAGAATTGCTAAATTTTGCCAACAGCATGTAAATATCATAACACTTTGTATTATGTTGAGCAAAGTGTATAATCATAAGTTCTAATATTTGAATGTGTTTTCTTGCTAGTTTATCATTATAGACTGAAACTAAAACATTCATATTAAATATTATTCATTCATTTTGGAACACGCACTATTAAACTATGAAAAGAGTTCGATAAATTCACTACACTAATACTTTTCCATAAAAGAGTTCATACATAGTACATACATTTTAGATAAACTATAATAGGTATAGTTTATGATACATCACTCTACGCACTCGTACAAGAAGGGTACATTCATACAAGAAATATTTATTTTCACACACATTTCACGTAAACTTGTTATCCTATATTGTGAGTTTCTCTATCTCTCTCCCCGTACGTCCG